AGTCTAGTTTGCTCCCGAAATTTTTAAAGTTGACTTTGCTTAAATCTTCTTTTTTCACTTTGTCCTGTGCTACAAACGATTATTGACGGCTGAAAAAGTCTTTTATCCGAGGCAACATGGCAAGTTATAGAAATTTGTAGACTCGACGGTTGATTGGAAATATAGCCTGATTAAACAGGAGTTTTGCGGCATCACTACTGATTTCACCATGGTGGAACCGGTTGTGGCGCCGTGAAACTTCGTTTGTTTCTTCAGGTTATTGGTAAAGAGGAAATTAAAAGGCGGGTCGGTTTTTTCGCGGAGTAGATTAGTTTCTCTCGCCATGTTGCTTCACTGTACGTTTAGTTAACATGTGAACACTATCTCGTGCAAAAAAGTTGAAAGATCAAAACGTCTCGAAGAGGAAATTCAGTTCAAACTTTGATTTGGAAAGGACAGCTTTAAACTAAAATATCGTATCGGTTTTTTAAAAGTCGAGGACGAAATTGGCGTTTTATTTTCAATTTTTTTTGCACGAGACTTCGCTTACATGTTTTTGGCGGGAAAATTTTGAGGGAAGCCATTTTAAATTTTTTGCCCAAAATGTTGCCAGGGGAAACGCTGTGCAAATTTTTTCCAATTTTCCCGCCAAAAGTCTTAGTATATAGAGGGGACATTTTTTTGTCACACCTTTTTTATTAGTTAATTGATTTTTCATTAACTAATTAACTTATAATTAAAGAGTATTTGAAGTGAATAAAGTTAATTGAAATACAAAACAATTGTTTGTATTTTTTGAAACGTTTTATTGAAGATAATAAAAGAGATTACAAAGAAATGTCACTACTTTATTGACTCTTATTCATTACGATATTAATGCCACAAAGAGAACAGACACATGAATTGAACACAATTTATTGAAAATATATTTAAACTTTATTTTTTAAAAAAATTGGCGCATGCGTATTTTAGGCGCGCGTATTTTTTCTAAGTCTTTTGGCGGGAAAATTAAACATTTTCAAACAGATGTCAACAAGAAGTAATATTTAAAAAATAAAAAAAAATTGGCGCATGCGTATTTTGGCGCCCGTATTTTTTCTAAGTCTTTTGGCGGGAAAATTAAAAATTTTCAAACAAATGTTAACAAGAAGTAATATTTAAAAAATAAAAATTGGCGCGTGCGTATTTTGAGCGCCGTATTTTTCCTAAGTCTTTTGGCGGGAAAATTAAAAATTTTCAAACAGATGTTAACCAGAAATAATATTGGCGGGAAAATTAAATTTGTTTAAACCGATCTGAATAAGCCAAGCAAAATCATACACAAAAAAATAAAATTACAGTTTAGCAAATTTGATCTTCCAATTGAAGCTCTGCCTTATTAAAAAAAAAATCGCTGTACTAGGCGAGTAGTTTCTTGTAAGAAAAAAAACTTAGCAGCGAATCTTCCGGAAATATCTTGAACTAAACGTTCGCTTACATTGCTTTCTACCTCTTAATGAACTTGTCTCTTGTTTGGATGAGAATATTCCTGGCTTGCAATATTCGATTCATCATAAGTGCCAACGAACCTGCAGGAAAAGAACACAAATATTTGTCTTTAAGTACTATCACACTGACGATCGTTATCATAAATATATATTTCAGCTTGTTGAGCCGTCGACCTCGCTTAAGGTAACATTTTATTCATCGCGTCCAGCGAACCAAGAGTGGAACGCATGTACAAACATAAACACTACGCTTAATTGTATACAGTCAGACTCGCTGTGTTGATGTTTGAAAATAACAATATAATCCTAAATTAGCAATCATTGCAACCGGTCTCCGAGGAACTGATCGTATTTTTAGCCGATAGTATTAATGATTTTATCATCAAACTTATGATGTTATTGCTTGGGTTCGCTTCACTGTGTAACAAAGTGGGGAGTCAGACGCAAGATTAATATTCAACGTTTAGCCTAATTATATGCGATCTCAAGGTTATAACATTAACACGGAGTTTCGCCCGATGCAATAACCGCCAGCAAAAACAAAAGAAATATATAAAAGAAGATCAAGTATATTTGTAACGATCACGAGGAATCAGATTTTCAAAAACTAGGCTTAACTGAAAACGTGAAAACGTGAAAACGTGAAAACTAGCAAAGCATAGAAACGAAATAATTACGCCGCGAGGGCGAGGCTTAAATCGATCGGCCGAATTTTAACAAATACATGCATCTTTGCAAGAACATAAACGCTTTCAGCTACAAAAATTTTGAAAAAACTTTTCCTTGTTATTTTGAAAGCTTTTTTTTTCTTCAAGAAAACAGAGAGAGTACTGATAATTATTGCCTGCTTGTTTCACACCAAAGAAAATTCCCTCATGCACTGACAACACGAGATTAAGAAACAATACCACGAAAATGTTTTAAATCAGCTTTTTAGAAATCTTCCCTTAACCGGGTCGATGTGAGAGTTACACCAATTGTTGCTGTTAAACTAAGGCTTTTGGTACACATTATTTGAATATTTTAGCGTTGCACTTTGGTTGGTTCAGCTGAACTCCTCCTTCATGATTAAATTCAAGATGCTCCATTGAATCAATGCCAATCAAATGCTGGAGTAAAATTGTTTTTATTGTTATCAAACGCTGCGTAGTGAACGTTTTAAATCTGTCGAACCGTTTTCAAGATGTTAGAATAATAGCTTAAAATCGAAAATAACGTCCACGTTGCACCGTGTACGTGAGTGATGTTAAAATCGCAAAAGACAATCGAAAAAAAACTTTCATGGTGTCAAAAAATTACTTCAAGACAAATTTGGCAAGATAATGACCTAATTACATCAGAGTAGTGTTAAACTCTCAGTCGATTTATTGTCATTATGAAAAAAATAATTTGAAAATACTTTAAAAAAAATAAAATTTGGACCACGAGTGTTGTTGCCATGGCAACATCCATTTTTTTTTCTTAAAAATACAGTTCACCAAACTTCAATGTAAAGTTTATAACTCGTGCAATTTTCACATCGATTCTATTAAGGGAAGCCTGCCAAAAATCTAATAGGAATGTTAGGTATGAAAACTGTTTCGAGACACCCCAAATTGCTAGGAATTTCGGTTAAACCTTTCATAGTTTTGGACTCGAAAGCAACTGAGTTAAACTGCAGAAATTTTGGCCAATCCTCAACTTCTAGTACCAGATTTGCGTTAATGCATCGGCTTTCGAACAGCTTGGACCAAATTTAGAGCTTATTATTTTTAAACTAATCAACCAACCGTGACTGTTATGAAAGCCATAATCCTGCACTTGTCCTTCTGTCCTAAGAAGCTTTTGATTTTTTCATCTTTTCAAATCTGTTCTTGACATTTTCCTGAAGAGAGATACATGTAAGTATTATGTGAATACATTGTAGGTAGCGCGCGTTTTGTGAGGATGTACACATCAATACAGCTATAAAGTGAGTAACTGGAAGAAAGAAATTTCAGGGACAACTTACAAATAACTTGAAGAGGCTATATCAATACACTTTTAAAGGAGCTCAGTCACGGTGTTTTGAGTTATTTTGGCCACGTACAAACTACTTTTAAATTGAAGAAAACCTGAAAATAATAGTTTACTAAAACTGATAGAAAAACACCAAAGAGATAGTAATAAACCATAAAGAAACAAGGATGGTTGAGGATGGAGATGATTGACACGGATTACACACGACGAACTTGACAAATTTAAGCTTAAAACTTTTCAAGATGTGCAAACCCGGCTTAACCGTGACGAAACTCCCTCAACGTGTCTGGCAGTTTCCAGCACTTTCTAGCAGTTTTAGTTATACTTTGACAGATCAATGCTACCACTCCAACGTATCAAGTGATGTTACACTATTGGTAGCCCACAAATGTCCAAACATTATTAAATAAGTTGTGGCCATCTTCATGGCACCATGGCAACAATACAACTTGTTAAAAGCAACCTTAGTTTTAGCTTTAACTGCTTATGATTCAAACACAGCACCTTAAATTTAACACCCACGTCAAGACATGACTAAATTTTTCGCATAATTCAAAAAAAGATTTTTTTCTTTCTTTAGAATCTTTTTATTCAATTTATTTCAATACTGGAAAGCATTTGGTGACATAGAATTAGGAAATCGCAATTGTTCCTTTAATTGGCGGTAGGGAAGGCGGGGGGTGGTGGTTGTGTGGTGGGCCGACGGATGGCAACAGTATTACTGGTCAAATGGACAGAAATATGTATAAAGAGACTATCCGTGCCAGAACTGATCCACCCCGCCTTCCTAAACTGGACGCTACGAACAATAAAATTGGTCTTAATCTACTAATTCCCCCAGCCAACCACAACCGTGAAACTTCTTGTACAAACTAGTATTCTGTGGGCAGCCTCAAGGCGATTTTCCTTTCCTGTTCAGCCAAGGCAGGCAAGGCTTACATTGATATCTACAGCTTGATCTCAAAATGGCAGGAAATATTGATAACATGTAAAAACACTGACCTGAAGTCTGAAGAACACCATGATGATACTGTTGTCTGCCTGTCTGTCTGTCCATGCCAATCATGACACTGTGACAAGTTTTACCTTTGAACGAAAAATGATGCGATGATCAGACAAGGCTGACATAACAAATTAGTGTTTAGAACAGACAGTTAGTATGAAGTACAGAAGCCCATTTTTATTAATTGTATCTTTAGTTTTTAAATTTTAACCAAGAAAAATGCCCAAAAAGACAAGCAGAACGTTGCTGTTGCGTTATCCAAAGGAAAAAAATAACTTTGGGACAGGAAAGAGGAACTTAGACCCACCCAAGTGGACTGAAAGGGTCTGAAGTTCGATACTACACACACCCGACGTTGTTTGGCAGTGCAGCTCAATACGATCTCAAAACACTAGAAAACCGGACGCTCTTACTTTATAGTGGAACAAAATCGCAAGTTTCCAAGCATAAATTAAAACAAGAAAAGACAGAGAGGACTGATTTGGGTCTTTTAACTTGCAACATTTGACCACATCAAATCTCTAAACATTATTGAGGGCCTTAACCAGAAACAAATTATGACTGAGGCAATGTCCATGAAAAAATTACGACTGAGGCAATGCCTATGGCACGCTTTAATCCTCTTCCAAGGTATTACGGGTGTTAATGATGACCAAAAACAACAAAAATGAAAAACAATGACTGAGGCAAGTGCTTCAGTTTGCCCGTTACTAGATACGGCTATGAAATAAGCTCAATACCATTGAAGTATTTTTCCACAGTCCAGAGAAAGTTGGCAATTGTCTGTTACTTGTATCTTATCAGTAGGGAAAATACGTCCCAATTGATGATGAAGTGCCTAACCCTATGACGTGTTCTAGAATTACTTGTACCTTCTGATAGGATGCACTCTATGAGCTTACCTGTTATCTTTTCCAGAGTGGGCCTGGGTTATTACTCCACTCGAAAACGTTTAGCAAATAGTATAAATGCGTTCATTGGCCTATTGGTAAACTGATGTGTGTTGTTTCTTTTCACTGGGCTTGAAGGACAATGAGACTGAGTGAAGCTTGGTTCGGTGGTGGCTGTGTTCTTATTTATCCTGTCACAAAAAATAAAATAAATCAATAAAATGTTTTCTAGGTTCAAAATAGATTTTCTTGTTGTCAAGGACTACATCTGTTAGATGAAGCTTTTACATCACGACAACAGCATCTCGCGATTACTTAGATTCAGATTCATAGATTCATTTAGCTGAACATGTACTTATTTTGCTGATAAAACATGAAATTTGGCCATTGGCATTGTGTCAGGCTATACGATTTATAGAGCATGTAACAGGACATTCAAAGAGAAACCTTATTGGTATCACAAAATGGAAATTAGCGTTTTTTACACCCATTTTCAATTCTGGCAGGTAATTTGAGCTTTGATTTCGTTTTTTTTTTCAACGACCTTTTCCTCAAACTCCCTCATCACTGGTGTCGAATAGGATAGCTCTAGAAGTCTGTAGAAGCCTAACACACCCCCTGTTGATAAAAACTGGATCACTGCATAATGCAATTCAAGAACTTTCATTGGCTTAGCCACCATAGTATATGAGCCATTATACCATGCTTTACAAATATGGTAAGCACGTATGTAACTATTGGGGGCATTTTATTTCTACTTTATTTTAGTTTTCTATATTTTGGGCCATTTTTAATGAAACAGTCATTCAACTCATGCTTGTTGGATATGAAATGATTATAGCTAACATGGCACTACACAATCGTTGGCTATCTCTCAAAAATATCTCATATCCAACGCGTGCTAGTGGAATAATTGTTAAATGTAGGTCGGATATCTGTTAGAATACTGACCTTAGCCATGCTGTGAAGTGTAAGAACGGCTGTTGAATCCATAGCAGAGAATTCAGAAGTCAGACCTGAAAATAAGACGAAAAAAAAAAGTTTAAAATATGTGGCACAAAGAACAAAGGTCAGCTTGTCTGTGTCAACTAACAGCAATATTCACAGTCGTTCCCACACTATCCAAGATTCAGCAGGGCTTGAATCAAATTACACCCACAGTTAAAGCAACGGCCAAACGATCACAACATTTCAACACAACATTGTTGGCCTAGCACTTGCAAGCTTCGGCCAAATGATTGCAACCGTAACATTGTAATGCAATACATTGATTGTTGGGTGCAACATGTTGCGTGCATTTGGCCACCATGTTGCGACATATTGGGTATTGACAGGAGCCCAATTACCCAGAGCCTCCATACGAATTGTAACCCTGAATCAACCCTGCCCCGTATATTTTTATTTTTAAAATTGTGATACATGTATCTGCAGGAGTTCTTTAACTTTCGGGGAAAATAATCTTGTTTTCGCAGATGTCCACTTAACAGCCTAAAAGAGAAATGGCCACCAAAGGGGAAGGCTGATCTCTATTCCTTCTCCCATTTTCCTTTCTATTTTGATCTCTTTTCCAATGTTACAACTGAGGGAAACTGGGTATCAGCTAACCAGAAGTTAAGAACGTAGTAGAACACTTGAAACTGGCATTCATACATCTGGAATCACCTTGTATTTTCTTAGTCTGGTTTGTTAATGTTGTGGATTTTTGTGCTTTGTTTGGTGGTTTTTCGTTCTTGTTGCTGGTAACTTCTTGTAAGATGAAGTGTTCTGTAGGGAATTTGGACTTGGCTGGAGGAGAGGGCCTAACAAAAGTAAGGAACCCTTTGGATTTTGGTCGTGAAGATCTAGGCGATGCTGGGTGACGTTGACAGCATGAGTAGTCTTGACAGTGAAAAAGACGATCACGAAACGTCAAATTTGAAGGATGTCCTGCAAAGAAAAAACTCCAGGAGATGCAGCAGAATAAAGCCAAAAAATTCTGAAGACTTGGATCAACTGGAAAGTAGGCACAAGAAACTTTCAGCCACTGGTTTTCGTGTCGGCATTTTACATCTCACTTCCAAGCCTTGTCCACTTGAAGACTCTGAACCAGCTACTCAGTTTCCCGATAGTATGCTTGTGGTGTGATCACTCCTTCAGATAAACAAAACTACAATCACCAAGCAGGACAGTTCCATCCCGTTCGCTTAGTCGTCCATGTTAATGGTGACTGGAGTTTGCAATCCCCAATCTCAGAACACATTGTTGTAAAATGGGGTTGACAAGAGCTGTACATGACTCCTGCCATTCTCTGTTCGGTCTCTTGACCTTTCTTGTTGCTTCACTTGTGTTTATGAGGAGCAATTTATGTTGTGTTATAGGGAGGAATTTTAAGTAGAGTTGAGCTGTAAGACTGTGCTATATATAGCAGAGATTTTTAGAGGTCATGGGTGTGCATGATTTCCGCTGTTATCAGCATGCCGCTTTGCCGAGTTTGACACCTGTAATTTGCCATGTGTTTATGCATTGTTCAGGCTCATTTCTATTGTAAGATATGTTTTTAAGTCTCTAAGTATTTGCCTTCGCCGGAAAAAAGATGAAACTTTTTGGGAACATGTTGCTTATTTGCATTCTATATTGTGACGCCAGGCCCGGCTTTTTGATTAGAGCTGTTTACAAGAACAGTATATTGATTCTTATCACGGATAACACATTTGTCCTTGTACGTTTTTCTTTG